TGAAGTTCAAAAACTTCAGTACGGCCGTATTGATTTCACTACGACCGTATTGTAGTTCAAATGGCTCAGTACGACCGTACTGAACCTCTAGGAGGGTGTATTGAGCTCCAATCCTCGCACACCCTTATTCTAAGCTACTCTAAGACTTCTAGACCTACAAAGAATCATCCTAGGGTCTTCCAGGAGTCCTTCCGGCTGACTTTCCTTCGGTCTTCGAGAGTCTTTGAGTCTTATTTCCGACCCGGACAATTTTAGGGGTCTACACATACCATAATACTTTACTTAACTAAGATGAGAAGGAAGGTGATCAGTCTTCTTCCCTCTTAGTACCAATTCAGTATAATGGTATACAATGCATCATTCACCACATTCTTGATACACATGCCTATATAAACCTCTCATCTCATACTACAATATGACTACTATATCCAAAAAACCAATCAAAATTACATAAACATACAACATGCACAAGATAAGTACATTTCAAATCCATACCTCCAAATCCAATCCAAATCCAAATAAACAACATAGACATATATACACACATACACACACACACACACACACACACACACACACACACACACACATATATATATACATAAAGTATATCTACTAAATAGCCTAATATTTCCATGGCGTTACAACTCTCCCCAACAACAAAATTTTCGTCCCCAAAAATTCACTTACTCAAAAAGAGATATGGGTATTGATCCTTCATCCTATCTTCCAACTCTCAAGTAGCTTCATTAGTAACCTCATCCCAAATAACCTTTACCAAATTGATAGATTTACCCCACAACTATTTAACTTTCTTATCTACTACTAAGACTGGCTGTTTCTCAAAAGTTAAATTCTCCTTAACTTCCTCGGTTGGGAAACATGGAACACATCGTGCATATTAGACATGGATGGAGGTAATGCAATCTGATATGCCACTGGTCCAATCCTCTTAAGAATTTGATATGGCCTAATAAACTTAGGATTCAACTTCTTAGCTTTAATATCCCTTCCCACACCTGTAATAGGAGTCACCTTAAAAATTACATGCTCTCCCTCTGAAAACTCCAAAGGTTTCCTCCTCTTGTCTGCATAAGACTTTTGTCTATCTGAGCAACTTTCATTCTTTCCTAAATTTGTTTCACTTTTTCGGTAGTCTGTAAGATGATCTATGGCCCCACCATCATTGATTCTCCCTCTTTAAACCAACACAGAGGTGTCCGACACTTCCTCCCATATAGAGCCTCAAAGGGTGCCATTCCTATACTTGCATGAAAACTGTTATTATAAGTGAACTCGACCAAAGGCAACATTTCTTCCCAACTCCCTAAATGATCCAAAATACAAGCCCTCAACAAGTCCTCTAAAGATTGGATAGTCCTCTCAGACTGCCCATCAGTCTGTGGGTGATAAGCAGAACTGAGTCTCAACTTAGTCCCTAACGCCTGGTGCAAACTTTGCCAAAATCGAGATGTAAAATGAGGATCCCTATCAGAAATGATACTGGAGGGCACACCATGTAATCTAACAATCTCCTTGACATACAACTGAGTTAACTTTTCCAAGGACCATTTTATATTCACTGGAAGAAAATGAGCACACTTAGTTAATCTATCCATGATCACCCAAATAGAATCACAATTCTTAGCAGACCTTGGCAAACCAACAACAAAATCCATGGCGATACTATCCCATTTCCATTCTGGCACTTCCATCATCTGTAATAAACCTCCTGGTTTTTGATGTTCTACTTTAGCTTTCTAACACACAATGCAAGATGCAACATACTCGGCTACCTCCTTTTTCATACCATTCCACCGAAACACTTTCTTCAAATCTTGATACATCTTTGTCATACCCGGATGTACACTCAACTTGGTCTTATGACCTTCTTCAAGTATCAACTTCTTCAACTCTTCATCTTGTGGAATACAAATTCTACCCTTGTACCTGAAAACCCCATCCACATTTTGTTCAAATCCTTCAGCTTTCTCAGAAACCAACAACTCTCTAACCTTATTCAAACCCACATCCTAAGTTTGTTTTTGTTTCACCATCTCCAAGAAATCACTAGTAATGGTAGTCATACCACAACTAATAAAATCTGGAGCAACCAAAACGTTAAGATTCATATCCCTAAATTTCTCTACCAACTCCATCTCTTTAACCATAATGTAAGACATATGAAGAGATTTTCTGCTCAAAGCATCTGCCACTACATTCGCTTTACCTGAATGGTACATTAGTTGAAAGTCATAATCTTTCAAAAACTCAATCCACCTCCTTTGCCTCATATTTAACTCTTTTTGATCAAACAAATATTTCAGACTCTTATGATCACTGAACACATCAAACTTAGCTTCATAGAGATAATGCCTCCAAATCTTCAAAGAAAAAACCACCGCAGCCAACTCTAGATCATGCGTAGGATAATTTCGTTCACGAGTCTTTAACTGCCTAGATGCATAGGCCACAACCTACCTATCTTGCATAAGAACACATCCTAAACCTTGATGAGATGCATCACAATAAACCTCAAAAGATTTATTAGGATCCGGCAGAATCAATACAAGAGATGACGTCAACTTCTCCTTTAACTCTTGAAAACTCTTCTGACACTCCTCCGTCCTTATAAAAGGTTGATCCTTCCTGGTCAACTATGTAAAAGGCATAACTATTTTAGAAAATCCTTCTATGAATCTCTTATAATAACCAGCCAATCCCACAAAACCTATAACTTTAGTAACTGATTTTGGACAGTCCCACCTCAAAACTGCTTCCACCTTAGTAGGATCAACTGCAATTCCTTGTGCAGAAATCACATGACCCAAGAACTTAACTTTAGATGGCCAAAACTCACATTTCAATAACTTTGCAAATAATTGTTTCTCCTTCAATACTTGCAAAACTATCCTCAAATGTTCTCTATGTTCTTCCATAGATCCAGAATAAACCAAAATGTCATCAATGAAAACCACAACAAACTTATCTAGAAAGGGTCTGAAAAACCTGTTCATATAATCCATGAAAATAGCTGGAGCATTCGTCACTCCAAAAGGCATATCGACATACTCATAATGGCCATACCGAGTCCTGAAAGCAGTCTTTGGTATGTCCTCCTCCTTTACCCGAATCTGGTGATACCTAGACCTCAAATCAATTTTGGAGAAAATAGAAGCTCCCCTCAATTGATCCATCAAATCATCTATCCTTGGCAATGGATACTTATTCTTGATTGTCAACTTATTTAACTGCCTGTAATCCACACATAACCTCACACCACCATCCTTCTTCTTTACCAATAAAACAGGTGCTCCTCACAGAGACACACTAGGTCTGATCATCTACTTTTCCAAAAGTTCCTCAACCTGCTTCTTCAATTCAGACAACTCTGCTGGTGCCATTCTATAAGGAGAAATGAACACTGATCCTGCCCCTGGTATTAGATCAATACTAAACCCCAACTCTCGCTTTGGTGGTAACCCCGGAACATCATCCAGAAAAACTCTAGAAAATCTCTGACAACATTGATACTATTCAACAACTTTTCATTCTCTAAACTGATGAAAGATAAGATCATAAACCCAAGAGCTCCACCCTTCAACAAACCATCCACCTGTCCACTAGAAATAAATCTCTCCTGTTCAACAGTAGGAAATATCAATCACCTCTCTGAACAATCTATCAAAATCCTATTGGCAGAAAGCCAATCCATCCCTAAAATCACATCCAAATCAGATAAAGGTAAACAAAACAAATTCACTTTATAACAATGCCCTTCCACTTCCACTGGACATTTCAAACAAACCTCAAAAGTCAAAACAAAACCTGAAGCTGGAGTAGAAACAACTAGATCCACACACAAGGAACTCACAACCAAATTTAACCTTGCCACACATTCATAAGAAATAAAGGAATGTGAAGCACCAGAATCAAATAAAATAGAAACATCATTACCATCAACTTTACCCTTTTCCTTTACCAACTCAGATGACGTTTCAGCTTCAACACCTATTAGAGCAAACACACGACCTGCTGTAGTAGGCCGATCCACCTTCTGTTCCCTCTAACTGGAGTATTTCTTACATTGCAATCCTTAGCCATGTGACCCACCTTGCCACATTTAAAACATACATAATTATTTATTGGAAAATCCCTCATCATATGTGGGCCTCTGCATCTGTAAGATCTGAAACTCTGAATAGCTGCTGTAGTAGCAGTCCCCATTGGCTTCTTATTAGTATTCCCCTTCTGAAACGGAGATGGTCTCTTTTGTGGATGTTTCCCCCTTCTAAATCCAGATGATCCCTCTAAACCCTTTGTCGCTCTAGTTCTTCCTTCAAATCTTTCCACAGTTTTTGCCTTTTCAACTAGAATTAGGAACTCCATAATTCCCATAGGAACAATAGTCTTCTTCAGCTCATACCTTAAACCCTCACTAAACTTCCTACATCTCAGGGCTTCAGTTATAGCTTGAGAATAATATCTAGCCAAGTGTTCAAACTTGACCACATACTCTTGTATTGACATATTTCTTTGCTGCAGTCTCAAGGACTCAGCTTCCTTAGCATATCTGGCGCTATCTGGAAAATATTTCTCTAGAAACACCTTTTTGAAGTTCTCCCAATTCACCACTTCCCCTCTAGCTTTCATCATAGCTTGAACGCCTTTCCACCAGAAACTAGCCTCACCCACCAACATATAAACAACATAAACTAGCTTCCTCTCCTTAAGACAATGCATCACCATGAAGATTTTCTCCATTTCCTCAATCCAATGGTCAGCAACTTCAAGTCCGTCCACACCTGTAAATTGAGGAGGATTCCCTTTTCTAAACTCTAACAAACCCCTGTACTCGTCAGGTACATCAGCCCTAGTTGCTTCAGCAACAGCCCGGTTGGTCTCCATCTGAGCCAACAAAGTATTTTTTTGTCCAATAGCAGCAATAATCAGCTTCATAGCTTGAGAAATCTGCCGCTCATCCACGCCTGAAGAAGGATTAGAATGGTTTCCCCTACCAACCATCCTAATCAATATAAAAGATCAAGCAACCAATGAGTTTACACTAAAACACATAAGTAATTCCTTTCCAAAAATCTATTTCCTCACAACAGAACATAACAAGACCATTTCCCACAAACCCCAATCCAACTCAAATACCAACAAGTGTAACGACCCGCCTTAGGCCGTCATATCAACAACCAATATGACAACTAAAATAAAATAATATATAATAAAGAAAATAGAGTAAAGTCCAGCTACACTAGAGTGTAAATATACAATAACGTATAAATTGTTTCCATAATATAAAACATAATTTTATAAAAGAGTCATCCTCAGCAAGGTTATACAGTCATCCAAAAAGATAATATAATTACAACATCATGAAAGTATCAAAATAAGACACCCTAGGTGCTGGTCAAGCTCTAAGTCTAGCCACTTCTCAACGCAGCTACCCAAAAGACTCCTTGCCATCCCAAAGCCTCGCAGCTGATCTGCTCCCCCACGTAGTGAGATCATCACAGTCCACATCATCGAAATATAAGGGTTAGCACTGTAGACCCCTAAAATTGTCCGGGTCGGAAATAAAGCTTGAAGACTCTCGAAGACTGAAGGAAGATCAGCCAGAAGGACTCCTGGAAGGCCCTAGGAGGGTTCTCTGTAGGTCTAGAGGTCTTAGAATAGCTCAAAATAAGGAAGTGGAGGGAATGAAGCCCAATACGGCCGTACTGTGGTAAGTTTGATGTTTTTAGTGATCATAAGAGTTTAAAATATTTGTTTGATCAAAAGGAACTGAATATGAGACAAAGAAGGTGGATGGAATTTTTGAAAGATTATGATTTTGAATTACATTACCATCCAGGAAAAGCCAATATTGTGGCTGATGCACTGAGTAGAAAATCTTTACACCTCTCTTCACTAATGATTCATGAGATGAATTTGATAGAAAAATTTAGAGATATGAATTTATCAACTACAGTAAGTCAGGATCGAATACAATTGCATGCAGTTCAAATTACTAGTGATTTACATGGAAAAATTGGTGAGGCTCAGGTAGTTGATAAATTCATTCAAAAGAAAAAGAGATTGATAGGTCAAAAGGATGGTGAAAATTTTAATATAGATCAAAGAGGATTTTTGAGAATTAATGATAGGATGTGTACCCAATGATTCAGAAATTAAGAAAATAATTTTAGGAGAGGCACATAAGAGCAAGTTGAGCATACACCCTGGGGCAACAAAGATGTATCAGGATCTCAAAAGAATGTTTTGGTGGTCCAAAATGAAAAAGGAAATAGCACAATATGTGGCTACATGTTTGATTTGTCAAAAGGCCAAGATAGAACACCAAAAGCCAGCAGGGATGTTGCAACCCTTAGATATACCTGAATGGAAATGGGACAGTATAGCAATGGATTTTGTAGTTGGTTTACCACGGACAATTCATAAGTTTGATTCCATATGGGTTATCGTGGATAGGCTAACAAAATCTACTCACTTCTTGCCCATTAACATTAGGTATTCACTAGAGAAATTGACTGAACTGTACATAAGGGAAATTGTACGATTGCATGGTGTACCATCTAGTATCATATCTGACAGAGGGACAATCAGAAAGGAACCAAGCTTTGCCTTAGCTCTGCATATCATCCTCAAACAGAC